GCGCCACCCCCGCTGCGGGGGTCCGGGGGTCAAACCCCTACCCCGGCTTTGCTCCCGGGGGCCCCCGCCTGACAACCCTGCCCAAAACCCTCCGAACGCGAACATAAAAAATAAAAATAAATAATAAAAACAAGTTCTCATAAAAAATTAAAACAAATATATGTTATGTAAAATAATAATACAAGCAACGTTTGCCTTGGAGTCATATTCAAATTCATAACCAATCATGAGTTAAAAATCAAAAACCGAAAAAAAAATCATAAACGAAAGGACATCTCGAAGTTCAGTATAAAATATATGATTAAAATATTACACCTGAAAAACAACAATTATCAACATAATAATCTCAGAATTTATAGTTAATTATTGTTAATATAGATCAATATTAAGTATCAAGATAATAACGGAGTACGACTCCATTAATATTAGGACATTGGAAATTGAGACCACGTGAAAACTAATTTGTGGGAACACCTTCCTGGAGGGTCATCTCGCTTGATTTGTTTTTGTGACCGAACCCTTGCTGATTCGGACGCTTGGGGGAGGACGCGGACCGTGGCTCAGAAGAAAGGTCATAACTTGTGGAGTTATGAACCACATACTTGGACTTCAACAACGATTATCTTTTATTTAATTGGAGTCGACTTTCTTAAGTAAGCTGTATCAAACTTCACTCAAGGTCAGTTGAATGATTCAAATTTCCTTCACCCCTATGTGAACCCTAACTTTGTTTTTTGAATGTTCGAAAGAAAAGGTAGGGGAAAGTTGTGCGAGTCATTCATGTGAACGGAAAGGTGTTACTTTAGTATAAGATTGTACTGATTTTTTCTTGAACTTGTTGTCTTTGCATGTTGTGCAGGTAGGTTAAATGATATCTGCAGTGAAGCTTGATTATGCCTATTTGAGAAAAGGAAAAATAAATTTATGTTTATTTTTCACCTGCATCGGTCGCGTCGTCCCCTCGCCGCTCTAACCGGGTCCGCCATTTGTACTTTTTGCGGTCCCCTACGATAGGATAGGTTCCCGTGGGGCATAACTTACCTTCCCTAAGGGGTTGTCACCACCCGTAGGGGCGTATCCCTACCGAGCTATTAACCCACGTGCGAAAGTTTTTAAATGCAATTGCAGAGGTAGGTCAGCCGAGGGCGTTTGCTTGTTCGATGCAATATAGGTACGCTTGGTTAACGCCCAGTGGACCCGAGTGTCGTTCGTTCCTTAGGACGTTGACCTCCTAAGTACGAAGCGGACGCCGGTTGACTAGGACGACTACAACCAAGCGTGAAACCCAAAGTTAATCCTAGTCCCTTAAACACATACTCAAAACAAAGTTATAACAACCACACATAATTACGTCAAAAGGAATCGACCGCAACCGATAAGAAAATTTATCTAGTATGAAATAATAATTAAAAGAATTTAAATCATCATATGATACATCTAACAGCACAAGACCGAAATACAATCTGACCAGTTGAGGTCAAACTCCATCAATTAAAACTATAATGAACTACTAACGAGAAAATTGGCTTCGATAATAACCTCGATGCAGCCGACAAGGTACTCGTACAACCTCAATTTTGACGTGATGAGATGCGCCGCCGAAGTTATTCATTCCACCCTACTGACGATCTAAGATTAGACACGCACTGCGTAGCACGCCGAACATGTTCGGCGCCCCACCGAGCATCCGAGCGGTAAAACAGGGTCCCCCGAGTGCGACTTTTCCAGGGCGCTACAGAGCTATTATGATCCCGGGGGGGGGGGGGGGGGGGGGGGGCGGGGAGCCGCCACGAAATGTTGAATCCCTTGACCCTCCCCGCGGGTGCGCATGGGGGCGAGAGGGGGTCAAAGTGGGGTACCAACCGGGGTGGGAAAATCGAGGGGGCAGTGGGGGGCCCATTTCGAATATGAAATCGGCAAAAAATTGAGTAGTTGTCGCCCCTCCCCCTGCCCCCCATGCTGTTCGCCGTGGAGAATCGCCATCGCTGTTTTGGTCGAGGAGCCACCTTCGTTGAGTGGGAGCAGCCGAACCGTGACATGGAGGGGGAACTGTACCTTTGTCGTCCAGGAGGAGCAGCTGCGTTCGCCGTCTCTATCGCCGTTTGGGCCGGTAAGAGAGAGAGAGAGAGAGAGAGAGAGAGAGAGAGAGAGAGAGAGAGAGAGAGAGAGAGTCCGACCATCTCCTTATCCTCCTTCTCCTCTTTTAGGTCCTCCCACCTTTCGTCATCCCCCACCCTCTCATCGATCGCGGCTGCCAAGGCAGCACGCACTTTTTTTTTTCGTTTTTTTTTTCGTCGTCTTCTTCCTCCTCCTCTTCTTCCTCCTCCTCTTCTTCCTCCTCTTCTTCCTCCTCCTCTTCTTCCTCCTCCTCCTCCTCTTCTTCCTCCTCCTCTTCTTCCTCCTCTTCCTCCTCCTCCTCCCCCTCGCCCTCCTCCTCCTCATCTTGGTCTTCCTCCTCTTCTTTTTCCACCTCCTAGTCGACGATGGTGTCGCTGCGGCTGCCACGTCAACAGGCGCCTTTTGTTTTCTTCCGAAGCTGTTTTTTTTTTTCGTTTTTTTTTTTTTTGTCGTCGTCTTCTTCCTCCTCCTCCTCTTCTTCCTCCTCCTCTTCTTCCTCCTCTTCCTCCTCCTCCTCTTCCTCCTCCTCCTCCTCCTCCCCATTGCCCTCCTCCTCCTCGTCTTGGTCCTCCTCCTCTTCTTTTTCCACCTCCTAGTCGACGACGGTGTCGCTGCGGCTGCCACGTCAGCGGGCACCTTTTGTTTTGTTTTTCGTGTTTTCTTTTTTCTTTCCTTCTTCTATATCTTCCGGATTCTTCCCTGAGTTTCCTCATCGTCCTTCTCCTCCTCTTCCTCATCCTCCTCTTCCTCCTCCTCCTCTTCCTTCTCCTCCTCGTCTTCCTCCTCTTCTTCCTTCTCTTCCTCCTCTTCTTCCTCCTCTTCTTCCTTCTCCTCTTCCTCCTCCTCCTCCTCCTCCTCTTCTTCCTCCTCTTCCTCTTTCTCCTTTTTCTCCTCCTCCTCATCTTCTTCTTCCACCTCCTCCGCGTCGTTATCGGTCGCGGCTGCCACATCAACGCGTGCCTTTTCCTTCCTCCTCCTCCACGGTGTAATCGGCTGCTGCTGCCACATCCGCCATCCTCCTCCTCCTTCTCCTCTTTGTCCTCCTCCTCCTCCTTCTCCCCGTTTTTCTCTTCTTCCTCCTCCTCCTTCATCTTCTTCTTCCTCCTCCTCCTACAACTTGTTATCGGTCGTGGCTATCTTCTTCTTCCTCCTCTTTTTCTTCCTCAGAGTGTTCTTCTTCCTCCTCCTCCACGTCGTTATCGTCAGCGACTGCCACATCAGCGCCTGACATTTTTTTTTCCGTTTTCATCTGCTTTCATTCGTCATCCTCCTCCTCCTCTTCTTCCTTCTTTTCCTCCTCCTCCACCCCGTCTTCCTCTTCCTCCTCCTCCTCCTCCTCCTCCTCCTCCCCCTCCTCCTCTTCCCCCACTTTTCCTCCTCTTTCTCATCTTCTTCTTCCTCCTCTCACACTTCGTTATCGGTCGCGGCTGTCACGTCAGCGCGCATCTTTTTTTCCTCCCCTTTCTTTTTCTCCTCCTCGTCTTCCTCTTCCTCCTCCTCCTCCTCCTCCTCCTCCTCCTCCTCCTACACTTTCTCCTCCTCTTTCTCATCTTCTTCTTCCTCCTCCTCCTACACTTTCTCCTCCTCTTTCTCATCTTCTTCTTCCTCCTCCTCCTACACTTCGTTATCGGTCGTGGCTGCCACATCAGCGGGCATCTTTTTTTCCTCCCCTTTCTCTTTCTCCTCCTCCTTGTCTTCCTCTTCCTCCTCCTCCTCCTCCTCCCCCACTTTCTCCTCCTCTTTCTCATCTTCTTCTTCCTCCTCCTCTTACACTGCGTTATCGGTCG